CGACGCTCTGTACATTTCGACCTACGCGTTTCGATGTATCGGATCTTTTCGGCGCGCGATAAATAGATTTTCGCTTACGATTGCAGAAGATGAAATTTCCATGGAGATTTCGCTCGATTCATTGAACTGAACATGAAATATATTAAAGACATGTGCAAAAGTAAGATATTATTATTATTGTATGTCAAAAGCAAGTAATATATTCAACTATCAATTTACTTTATGCAGGGTGTCTACTCTAATCTTGTAAAAATATTCCCTGATCTTCCAGATATTTTTTTAAAATTCTAGGTAAAAAAAATATTTTAAAGATTTATTGAGAGGTGCAACTTTCTAAAATAAGTTTTTTTATTGTATACATTTTCTAATGGTTTTTCATTTATATGAAGGAAAAACACAAAGCCTCTAAGTTTCAAATGCTACATTTATAACTGTGCTGAAAAAAATTGAACTTAATTTTCGTAAAATAAATATTTTTCATTTGTATATAAAATTAAAATTTTCATTTTTTTGTCACTAAAAATTATAATAAAAAATATGTATTGCGTATTCAATATTTTGTTAAGACATTGAATATATAAACAAACAAAATATTTATAATATATTTTAAATATATAATTTACTTGGCTGACTGTTTACAATATAAAAACAAAATTATCAAACAGAGGATTTTTTAAAGAAATTCACTGAGTCCCAATAAAATTCCATGAAAATTCCATAATTTTTCAGATATAAAAGAAATCCTTGAAAATTCAACGTTTTCCGTGTTATTCCAGGGAGTAAACACCCTGGCAATAATTCACGAAATAAAAAGAATATAACATTTCTATCAGTATCTGAGATTATATAGGAATTCCAAGATAAAGACGCGAAAGAACTAGAAAATGTATATTCAGAATCCAAGCTTATTTATCCTATCATCACGTATTAAAATCTCAAGAAGATTCCCTCAGATTTCTCGCTAATCGATATATGTGTGTTTCTAATTTTTCCTTTCTGTACAAACATCCCAATCTATCCATGTTCTTCCCTCGCGTCCGAAAAAATCACGTTTAATGGTTTCGCGCGGCTCTCTCACGTTCCAAATACCAAAATTTGAATAGACGCGGCGCATGCGCAGCAAGATGGCGCTGGCGCACTTCGGCGGGGCAAGTTGTTCGACGCGAGGGTGGCGATGGGTGTTCGTCGGCGGCGGTAACGGATCGATAACGGCGCGACGGTAGTGCGCGAACACCGTTGAGCGACGGTTCTCGTCGTCGTCGTCGTCATCGTCGTCCAAGTGCCGGAGTCGAGAGCATTACCGGGAATCTCCGTCGAACAGTCGGCCGAATGCCGATTACGTGGGCGCGCGTTCGCGGGTCGAGCGTCGTTCGCGATAGCTGAAGTTGGCCGCGATCGGTGTGCGCGTCCGATCGTCTGCTCTCCGGGGGTTCGCGATTATTTAAGATATCGATATCGTAGCGCGGGTATTAACATATCGTGTGCCCGGCTCGGCAGTGCGCGAGCGAGCCAAGTAACGTGCCCGACGCGCTAACGCGCGCGTCCGCGCGGTTATGTGTCACGGCGGCGCGTTGACATTTCGCGCGGCGGCGAGTACGCGAGGGAAGCCGGTTGCCGCGAGTGACGGGGCGCGCTGAGGCGCGCGGACATGTCGGCGATGTCGTGGGGCACGGCCGCGGCCGGTCGGGCCGCGGTGCCATGGCGTAGAAAAACGCGCGTATCCCTGCTGCTGCTGCTGGTGCCGCTGGTCGTCCTCGGATTGCTGCCGGGCACCGTCGTCGGCGAGAGGAGCAAGTCATGTGAGTAATTCCCTCTTTCTCCTCCCCCGATCTTTAGGGGTGCTTCTTCTCGATGGTAGAACGTTATTATTTCGTTTTTCGTTACGCTACTTTATCACGTGGGGCGATCAGACGCTTTAAATATCATTGCTTTGCGTCGATTGTGCCCGTTGATGATTTATCGCATGTGGGACTATGTTATTTGCAAAGATTTTAGATATTTTCATGATATTTTTCGTAAATAAATATATACTTATTTGTATGTAATTGAATATTTATTTAATTTGTGTGTATTTTGCATAATTTAGATTATTTTGCTTTAGAAATGATATATCCGTATTTTATATTTTACGATATTGACCATAAGAACGATTAATAAAACGCATATTAAATAAATATTTTATACACTTGTTTGTGTGTGTGTGGAATAATTAAACATATTTACTTGATTTGCATTTTGCATAATTTAAATTATTTTGTTTGAGAAATAGCATATACGTATTTTACGATATTTGCAATAAGGACAACTCATATAAAACGTGTATTAAATAAATATTTTATTGTATTTTTTTTTACTTGTATTAAAATTTTTTACTTGTATTAATATGGAAATATTATAAACCCAAAATATAATAATATATATCTTAGAATTTTTCATGCGTACGGAATCAGAATGACAGATTACCTTTTGGATATGAATTTCCGAATTTAGAGATATTTCTGAATAAAAACTTCTTTTAATATATATTTTTTATTTCTTTTTATATATATATTTATATACGACATACACATATACAGAATAGTATATTCCGCACACATTACGCGTTATATGTACACTTTATAAGAATACAATACGAGAATATAGGTGATGCGCTAGAGATGCTTATGAGAATGAATTTGATTTTACACTCGATATATTGATCTTTCAGCGAGTCGAGACTTTTCCGAATTTTGTGGTGCGCGCTTCATTCATAATACGACTGAACGGTAGTACGCGCATAGTAGTATGTTTACTACGCTGTGCGTACTCCCTTCTGCCACCTTCCCTTCCCCCTTTCCGCCTTTTCCCTCGCCCCGCTTCTTGCGCAGCGCGTGCGCTCAATTAAAAAAGAATGAACGCGACAATCTCATTGTCGATCGATACGATCGTCGATATGTATGTCGAAAAATCGTAACGACGTGCAAAAATTTGCACTACAAAGATGTGATTGTGTCTCTCTTTAATAGAGGATTAAAATCGTTTCTCCGTAGATACTGTTTTTTGCGATATGATTAATTTACGAATATTTTGGAAAATCGATTGTCCTTTCTTTGAGCTAAAAATAAGTCCGTTAGTCTCAAAAGTACGTTATCTCTTATATGTAGACTAAAAGATTGAGACAAATTGTATTGGAGAGAGAACATATTTTCCGCTTGTTATATTGTGGAAGAACAAATTATGATTTATTATGTTTACGGAGGACGTGAGCTGCTCTCACTTTTGTTGCGCATTTTGATTTTACGAGTTTATAAGAATTTATTACGCTCCACAAGTGTTACAAATGACTATGAATGCTGAAAAATTTCAAAGATTATGATAAATTTAAAACAGAAATAAATTTAAAAATTTCATGTTTCTAAAATAATAATGAAAAAAAATATCTAAATCCGCGACTATTTTCAAACGTTGAATTTCTACTTTGTTTCTACTATAAATTTCTACTATTTCTACCTGAATTTTACGTCCCTTATTGTACGACAGGACAAATATACTCTAGCATTTATTTGATTTAATTCAATTAGAAGCTTGTTGCGGTAGCATATCTTAAATTAGTTACACCCGGTATACAGTTTCTAATCACAGTTACCTTGATTTATCAAAGGGAGATTGTTTATTTTTGCAGTGATAAGGTGTATCGGATCTCGGATACGATTGCATCTTTGCGCGAGCATGCACATTTAAACGCAATTAAAACGGGAAAGGAAAAAAGATCGAGTATTATTAAATTACACGGCAAAGAATTCTGAAATTACACCGATGTTGGATAACAACATCGACCACTTCTTGATACAATGTTTAAGATCGCGAATTACTTTTCTTGATCAATCAGTCACTCGATAGCTTATTGCATATAGTTGTTCCAATCGCGTAATAGATATTTGATATAAAGAACAAAACTGGTTACGATTTATCAAACGCAGTTTAGATAGAGTCAGCGTGTAATTACGGAGACCGTTTTTTTTGACATCAAATTGAATACATGAAAAAAATATACACGGAGAAAATTTTACAATACAAATTATTTGAAAAATACAGTTCCTTTTACAATATTTATTGTAAAGCTGAAATATAAAGAATATTAGAATATTTATTATTATAAAAATTGTAAATTATGCATTTATGTGGACATCAAAATATAATTATTAAATAAATAATATTATAATTAATTCTTTAGAAAAATAAAATAATATTATTATTTAATATTATAATATTATAATTAAAACATTATTATTTAAATTTGATTTACTTTATATAATGGTGTATATATATTTTTTCTCACCTTGTTTTTCTGTAAAGAAAAGATAAATTATAAGATTTTTTATGGTAAATCGGAATACGATTCTTTCAATAATCCATTAATAATCGGCTTTGTTTCGTAAGCAACTTATGTCGCGTAGCCTTTTCCTTTTGAGATTCATCAGAGATCATCTATTAAGTGCTCGGGGAATAAAACATAGTGATTAAACGTACATTTATCGTCTGCCGAAGCCTGAGCGAAAAACTTAGGAATACTCGATCCGGGAAGGTCCCAGGAAAAAAGTTAAATTAACCCCAACTTTAATCGAAGCGGTATAATCGACGGCGCACGTAAAATCCTATCTTTTTGATGAAATTGCCTCGTTATCCGAACTTCGTGAGTGGAAGGGTTGGGCCTTTGCGGATCCGGTTAAAGAGAACAGTACGTCGTTAACCTCCGCTAGACACGCTCGTTAACATAGCTCACGAATCGCATTTTTGCCGTTAACCACCATCGAGCCTCATCTGCGTAGTAGCGTAAAATATTCTCGCAAGAAATATTAGAGAATTTCGAAAAAAAAATTTTAAACTCGTGGAAATTAAAAAAAACTTGTTTCATCTCCGTCCTCTCATATTCATATTCATATCCGCAATTACTTATATAACGCATACCAAAGTCAGATCGCGTATATTAAAAATTTTATTACGCGCATCTATTTTCTAGGATCTGGAATAATATTGCGATAAAATTTAGGGAATATTAAGGTTGCGGAGAAGTTTCCATGCATAAGTTAAATTAACACACTTTGCTAATTTACTTACATCGAATTTTATTGTGCGTGATTCAAGCAACTTCAATATTTAATTCGAAGAGAATTACATCGTAAGAAACTATTACAAAATTATTATGAATAAATGTAATTTTATAAGACACGTTTTTTTATAGCATATCATATCCAAGTTATATTGGAATCGGAGGTCTAATATTTTTAATAATTTTTTAAATTATTATAATTGCGAATTCATAGCAATTCGTACGATGCATATGCGCATCGTATTTTATAACGCGTATATTCCCAAATAACTTGTACGTTTTTCTTAATAAACCCCAATCGACCCTCGGATGTTTCTGTCATCCCTTAGCGCCCCATTTTTCTCGGGAGGATTGTTTTTGTTAATCTCCGCTTCCCGTCGCACACAGGGGGAATGTCTGTTTCCCTTCCCGAGACATAATAAATTTTTTCTTTTTCTACTATCCGCTTTACCTTATACGCGTTTCAATTCACGATCCACACGAAATTCCTCGCGAAAATTACCATCCTCGTTTGTCTGCGCGGATGAAGTAATAAAAAAATAATAAAAGATTCTTTCTATTAAGTATATCCCTGACGTTACTTGTTAGATTTCGACACTGCATTCCGATCATTCGAAATATCGGCGCTTCTCTTTTCTTTCTTTCTCTCTCTTTTACTACTCACCCGTATCTTAGAAGAATTTTTTGTCATTCTCGTAAAGAGCTCCCTTGAAATTCCTCCTTGCTCCAATTCTGTTCACCCTTACGACGGTTCACATACATTAGTAGCACGTTTGGCTTTGACAAATCGGCACTCGACGATCTTTCGTGAAATGGTAACACGCGACGTTCAATCGTATCGATTGTCCTTGTTATCGCGTAAAATAAATCGGCGCCCCTTTGACGCGCATTTGCGCGACGAGATTATTTGTAACGCCGCGAGGCAGCTTGACGAAGTATCGGCATGCGAAAATTGCGGTAATCAGCGTCGAAGTTACAACGGGAACAGCGTTAATTGTTTGCACCGGTGGCGGGATTACACCCGCGCTTGGTAACACGCCTGGGAACGAACGCGGCAGCGACCGATAAACGAAGCTAATTACGACAGTCGAATTAGCTCGGGCGACGGTCGTCGCGCGGATGATCGATCGATCGATCGATCGATCGATAGATTGATTCGCGGACGATTAAAGCACGGCACGTTCCATCGTCCTCCGCGCGATCATTTGTGCCTGATTGCGCCGCTTATAAAAGTCATCTACGCCGGATGAATGCCGTGGACGCGATCAAAATGCACGTCTCGTACGTTTTTTCCTTTTTTTTTTCTCTTTTTAATACAACTGCGATATCGTTCTTTTTGACACACGACGCGAATGTCGGAAAATAGAAAGTCATAATTCTCGTTGTAACAAGATTGAATTAATAAAGCGCGAGGACATTATCGGATCGTATTTTGCAAAACGAGAGCAACTAACGATATTTTCTTTTATGATGGTGATTCTGTTTTGCTGTTCGACACAATATGTGATGCAGATGTGAAAACTTCATATTCGCGAGCTTTGTACGCGTAAATTTTTTTTTTTTTTTTTTTTTTTGGGAATATTGCTCTCTGCATCTAAAAAATCCATATACTCCGAATATATTGTGAAATATAACGATATTTCGACGCGAATGTTGCCCTCCATAGGCAAATTCTCCATCCATTGCCACCGTTGCCATATCGATTTTATT